AGAGAGGCTATGAAGCTCCACCACAGAACATAGAGGCTATGAAGCTCCACCATAGAACTTGAGGCCATGAAGCTCCACCACAGAACATAGAGAGGCCATGAGGCTCCACCACAGATCATAGAGGCTATGAAGCTCCACCATAGAACTTGAGGCCATGAAGCTCCACCACAGAACATAGAGGCTATGAAGCTCCACCACAGAACATATAGAGGCCATGAAGCTCCACCACAGAACATAGAGGCTATGAAGCTCCACCATAGAACTTGAGGCCATGAAGCTCCACCACAGAACATAGAGAGGCCATGAAGCTCCACCATAGAACTTGAGGCCATGAAGCTCCACCACAGAACATAGAGAGGTCATGAAGCTCCACCACAGATCATAGAGGCCATGAAGCTCCACCACAGAACATAGAGAGGCCATGAAGCTCCACCACAGAACATAGAGGCTATGAAGCTCCACCACAGAACATATAGAGGCCATGAAGCTCCACCACAGAACATAGAGAGGCCATGAAGCTCCACCACAGAACATAGAGGCTATGAAGCTCCACCACAGAACATATAGAGGCCATGAAGCTCCACCACAGAACATAGAGACCATGAAGCTCCACCACAGAACATAGAGAGACCATGAAGCTCCACCACAGAACATAGAGAGACCATGAAGCTCCACCACAGAACATAGAGAGACCATGAAGCTCCACCACAGAACATAGAGAGGCCATGAAGCTCCACCACAGAACATAGAGAGACCATGAAGCTCCACCACAGAACATAGAGAGACCATGAAGCTCCACCACAGAACATAGAGAGACCATGAAGCTCCACCACAGAACATAGAGAGACCATGAAGCTCCACCACAGAACATAGAGAGACCATGAAGCTCCACCACAGAACATAGAGAGACCATGAAGCTCCACCACAGAACATAGAGAGGCCATGAAGCTCCACCACAGAACACAATTTGTTTGATCCATTCAACTGCCTGACTCCCACGACATCACGTGACAAGTCGCCTCCCACCCCCACCCAAATCTTTAACCTGGAAACAAACTTCATTTAGGCGGACCAAGTAGGAATGGGTGCCTTAATTTCAGCTGATGGCCAATCGTCAATCGTTTCATGGCTTTTATGGGCTTAGCAAAAGACACTTGATGGGCTTAGAGTTTAGGATATATATATATATATATATATATATATATATATATATATATATATATATATATATATATATATATATGGATTATTATTTACAAGATTGATACTAGAAACAACTTATTATTTTATAAACATGAAATAGAAACACCAGACTGCATTAAAATTTGATTTCTTCAAGTTCTGATGGGTTTATTTTGAGAGTTGATTCCAACGAATCTCAGTCCAGCAGGGCTGTCGCCTGGTAACCGTCTGCTACCCGGTAGGACAGACGTGGCTAATGACAGGGCTGTCCTCGGCTGTTTCTTGTCTTAGGTCTATGTAATTTAATTATTCCATCATTTACCTCCAATTACGGCGTCTCAGCCTACCACAGAAGAACGCCGCCAGCAAGCCAAAAAATTGGATCCCTTTTAATGCGATCCCTGGAGCAATCTTTAATCTCATTAAAATTAGGGTTTTGTAGCGCTCAAATATCTGATACGGTTTAAACAAAAGAGGGGGAAAGAGCGAGGAAAATGTTTACAAAATCTCGTCATAAAAGATAGGCTATATATTACAATACTTTAATCAAAGGATACAAATAGAAATTTAATTTTTATTATTGCTCACGCAAACAGAGTTATCGTTTTAAAAAATCAAATTAAAATTATTTTACACTAATTTTAAAATTAATGCCCTTGAATTGAGTAGACTCCCCTAATTGAACTTTTTTTTTGTGCAGTCGATTTCTTGTGGTAAAGTTATTTCTTGTGGTAAAGCTATTTCTTGTGGTAAAGTTATTTCTTGTGGTAAAGCTATTTCTTGTGGTAAAGCTATTTCTTGTGGTAAAGCTATTTCTTGTGGTAAAGCTATTTCTTGCGGTAAAGCTATTTCTTGTGGTAAAGCTATTTCTTGTGGTAAAGTTATTTCTTGTGGTAAAGTTATTTCTTGTGGTAAAGTTATTTCTTGTGTTATATCTTCTGTTGTTATCTTCTAGACTGACTAGTGTTTATGGTAATGGTGGGGGTCAGCTGGTTGTTCTAGTGGGGTCAGCTGGTTGTTCTAGTGGGGTCAGCTGGTTGTTATAGTGGGGTCAGCTAGTTGTTCTAGAGAATCAGATGGTTGTTCTAGTGGGGTCAGCTATGGGGTCAGCTGGTTGTTCTAGTGGGGTCAGCTGGTTGTTCTAGTGGGGTCAGCTGGTTGTTCTAGTGGGGTCAGTTTGTTGTTGTAGTTGGGTCAGCTGGTTGTTATAGTGTGATCAGATGGTTGTTCTAGTGGGGTCAGCTATGGGGTCAGCTGGTTGTTATAGTGTGATCAGCTGGTTGTTCTAGTGGGGTCAGCTGGTTGTTCTAGTGGGGTCAGCTGGTTGTTCTAGTGGGGTCAGCTGGTTGTTCTAGTGGGGTCAGCTGGTTGTTCTAGTGGGGTCAGCTGGTTGTTATAGTGGGGTCAGCTAGTTGTTCTAGAGAATCAGATGGTTGTTCTAGTGGGGTCAGCTATGGGGTCAGCTGGTTGTTCTAGTGGGGTCAGCTGGTTGTTCTAGTGGGGTCAGCTGGTTGTTCTAGTGGGGTCAGTTTGTTGTTGTAGTTGGGTCAGCTGGTTGTTATAGTGTGATCAGATGGTTGTTCTAGTGGGGTCAGCTATGGGGTCAGCTGGTTGTTATAGTGTGATCAGCTGGTTGTTCTAGTGGGGTCAGCTGGTTGTTATAGTGGGGTCAGCTGGTTGTTCTTAAATCTGATCACAACGGACACTAATTTATCCAGCAATCTTGTACTCATACCTCACCTGTATCGGGCAATCTTGTACTCATACCTCACCTGTATCGGGCAATCTTGTACTCATACCTCACCTGTATCGGGCAATCTTGTACTCATACCTCACCTGTATCGGGCTATTGAAACTAGACCTTTAGATGTTCAATGGCTATTGAAACTGATTAGACAGATAACTAAATCAATTTTCTGCACTCAAAAATATCCATTCGCTACTTTGTCTTCTTTATCCAACTAAAGCTATACATTCTCACCGTGATAATTCAAGTGTTCGTAAAATGAATAATTACCCATAATTCCACAAACAAAGACTATTGATTTAACATTTTAATTAGTATTATAGTGTATTTGTTTTCACATATTTTTATTGCAATTATATTTAATTCGGTCTCATATTTCTGCTGCAAAAGTATCACATCACCCCTCCCCCATTATGGTCAACTATAACGTTTAGAATCGTGAACAGATTCGAATACATTGACCAGAGCTTTACATGATACTTAAAAACAAAAACTAAAACAAAAGCGACTTCTAACTGAAGGTATAAGATTAGCCGAAACAAAAATTCAAATAAGAAACATTATTCGTAACTAAATTGCGGTAGAATTTATATTGGAATATCGATATTCTCTAGCATCGATACTTGTATTCATTGGACGGGCGTAGTGATGACAACAGCACGAATATGAACTTTCGAATCTAAACTTTGAAAGGAATACCTTGCAAGCAAGATGCAGCATTAGTTGCATGTAACCCGATCCTTTGTGGAAATGTCGCTAATATCGCAGTAATGAGAGCTATCTCTAGACCTTCTTATTCCTGTAAACGGAGACTAAAGTTGTTTACAGGATACGGGGGTGTCGTGGTGTTGCTTCAGATTTGGAATAATTAAAATTATGGCCGCGGGTATTCGTCAGGTTGGCGCTACAACTGCAACTATCCAACTTCACACTGGCTAATCTAACGAATCTAGAAAAAAATGTTTTTATTTTATTTCATAACACAAAATCTATGTGATTAAATATAAAAACGAAAATTGGATTTAAAAACAAAAATATAAAGTGTCATATAATTATTGCCAATATGAGGTGTAAATTAAAATCCCGGGGAGGGGTAGTGAAATTTTATATAATTTAATCACTATTGATTTCTTTTAGAGCCACAATATTTCCTGCACTTTAGCAGACGTCCAGCAGACAGACACCACGTGATTAAAACACACGCCCCAACTCACGACGAAAAAAAAAAAAACAATCATAAAAACAACACATGCAAGAAACAAAAATAGATTGAGGAAAATACCAAAAGCCTTGTGATACATTCAGTTTCCTCGCCAAGTTTTTTCCTCACAGGAAAGAAATGAAAGCATAAACTGGTCGATGGGATGGCGGGCCCATTGTGCCCTGGGCATCTTTTGGCCCATTGTGCCCTGGGCATCTTTTGGTCCGGGCTGGTTTTTGTTCGACGGGTGGGGCGGTATTTCATGAGCTAACAATTTGTTACTTTCATTTCCTGGCGGGCCAATTTGCCGACGTCCTGTTTTACAATATGATTCCAGAAATAATGATCGTTATCCCACCATTTTCCGGCATCGGTGTATTAGCCGATGTAATTCTCTGTTAAACGTAGCCCCCCTTTAGACGGACATAGGCTGCTGAAGTTTGGTGCGACCGTCTTGTGATGGGGTGGCTAATACCCGGAGTCTCCATTAACCGGCGCGGCTGATCAGGTAAAGGTGATACCAGATTAGAAAAAAAATCTTCAAGAGATCGATGGACAACCAGTGAGCTGGGAGTTGAAACACGATACCCCGTGGGGTGGGGCGAGGGAGGGCTGCCATTTTTTGAAATGTTTAACTTGTCGAGACAATATCCACGCCATTCAGTTCCGTGTCTTGACCAGGATAGTGAGGTTCAAGTTGAGCTTGGCTAATCATTGACACAATCTTTTTTTTAAAAAAAGATTTGATTAGTATAATGTGACAAAATTTAGGTAGTTAAACAGTATTTTTTGCTGTTAATGCGAAGATTTGATAACACTAATTAAATCTAATTAAGTTAAATTCTGTACCCGTGGGATCGTACTGCCTCCATGGCGACGGTTTTTCGAGAACGGATCCCGGCCCAGCAGACGACGACAGACACGCCGTTATCGTCTGCCATGACAGACCTGATGTCCAACAGACTGAGGATGCTGTACGCGCCGCCCGACCTGAGCAACTGCCCGCAGCTCAACATCCAGCAGATGTTCGAGACCTTCAGGAAGGAGAGCCGGGAGCTGCAGATAGAGAGGCAGCTCCAGAGTTACGGCTCCTGCTCCTACGACGGCCTCTCCGAGCTGGAGAAGCGATACTACTACCCCAGTGACTTCCCCGACGGCAAGATGCGGCTCTGTGGCCCCGACGAGAAATCTCTTGGCTCCGTATTGGCGGACCAGCCTTTCACAGACATGAGCATTCCGGCGTTAAGTGACCGGTCTGGCATCAGCCATCCGGCATTAGGTGACCGGTCCGGCTACACGGAAAATCTAATGGAAAAGTTTTCTAGAACAGTGCTGCAGAACTCCCTGACCCTAGTTCCGCCCGTGGGCAGGGGTTTGTTCAACAGCCGGCCAAACACCGAACTAAAGATGCAGCCCTTTATTCCTAGAACCTGTTGTAGAGTGCCACAAATGGACTTGCCAATGGCACTCAAAAATTTCAGGAGTTCTAAATCGGAGTCACCAAAAGGTAAGTTCCTTCATGCCACAATCGAACGGATGCACTCTATAATACACTCTGTACGCATGTGTAATGCTGTAATATTTCTTTAAGGCCTTTAAGTTGGTTGAAAAAAAATCTGACAGAAGAACACATTCAGAAGCAGAGTGTCTTCCAGGCATCTCTTCGGGCCTTTGCCCCCCCCCCCCCCCCCCGAAGAAAGTCTACCGCCCTCCCCCCCCCCCCCTCTGAACCAAATGGAATTTATATAGAAAATATATACTTTTAACAGTGCCCGCCACCTCCCACCGAAATTTGAGTCCGCCACCCCCGAAAATTTAAAGTGTACCCCCGGAGAAAAAAGTCTGGAAGAAACACTGTCCAGAAGTGGGGCCTATTTTAAACATCTCGACTCTCATCTGCGAAGTTTATAAACAGTGAAGTGAAAGCAGATTATGACCGACACCTTTTACTTGCTGATACTTGATATATAAAATTATACGTGTAAATTAGCTGATAAATTCCACACCCATTGTATGTTTATGTCTTTTTAAGTCCACGTCTAATCCAGTAATGATATTTTAATGAAATGAGCATGCCATGGCAGGTAGTCGGTGTCTCAATGTTTTATGTTCTTACATCCTAGTTGTCGGGCCTAAGGTTGTATGGTTTTCCCTTCCCCACAAATGAAAATACTATAAGCTGTGGCATGCCCCCCCCCCTCCCATCCCCCCCCCCCACCCCCATTGTGACGTGTATTGAACTTGTAGATCCTCTCCCAGCGGGCAGGCAGGACGGCAGCGGTGACGTACAACTGGACGAGAGGTCCGAGTTCGAGTCCACGAATCAGACGCTCTCTAGCAGGTGCGATGCCAAGAAGAAACGGCGACACAGGTATGTAGTGAGGAGGCGGGGGGGGGGGGGGGGGGAATGAGGGTGTGGGGGGTGTGAATGTGTGGGGTTTGGGGGGTGGGGAGGGGCTACTCTGCGGCCATACCAAATCAGTAATAAAGTCGACAGTTTTATGTAACAAAACCAACAGATTTTTAGTCAAACAAATATCTAGACGTTTCAATAATATTTCACTAAAAAATTGAAACAATAAAAAAAAACAGTAAACCCATTTAGTAACAAACTCGCCAACAAACTTGAGCTACACCGTAACTTTCCACCCAAAAACGTGCATTAAAAAATCCCCCATTCCAGCCCGCTAGAGTTGTAAGACGTCCAATAATGGATGTGTCCCACTAGACAGGATGAAAAGATTTTTTGTGACGTCGCTTCAACACCTGGCCAGATAAGCCAGGCCAAAAAAGGCCGATAATAAGTTTTACAAAGGCCGATTACCTGTAATAAGTTTCAGTTATTCAATTAGTTGGCCGATAACTGCCTGCATTAGCCGCCATTCCACTGTCTTCGTCTCCGCGCAATCTTAAGGCGACACATTGGCCAGAACAATTGGCTGATGAAAATATCAAAGTAAAATATGTCGGATATATAACAGAAGATATTGTTATGTAAAGCTATTGATGTAGGCGATGTATTTATTTCATGACTGAACGTTAGCGTCAGTGGGGATTATATGCAGAATTTTTAGTGGAATTGGTTGGATTATAGACACAGCTTCTAATTAAATATCGAGGATTAGTAGTTGCTCTAATAGTTTATACAAAATATTAATAGGGTGAAATACGTTTATTTTAGTTCGCATAAGGTCGTATAGTTGAATATCAACAAGGTCTGTGTATGAAATTATTCAAATGTAGACGTTGAGTATTTTTAGTCCTGTTGAAACAGATTAGAAAAAAAAACTATCTTTTGTTTTAGCCGGCTAAAATATCTGCTCAGGCTTTAAGATCTGTCGTCGTAAGTCGTAAATATCCAATTGTATTTTAAATGCCAATTGAGGAGTGGGAGAGTGTGTGTATGTGTGTGTGGGGGGTGGGTGGGGGTGTGTGTGTGTGTGTGTGGGGGGGGTGTCACATATTGTATTTGTATTACCTAGTACTGCCAGTACTGCTACTACACTGGATCCAGATCACCTCGTGAGTAATGTCCATACCGAGATTATTTCTCTGCACTTTTGTCCCCTCTCCGGATAACCATCTTGACTAGCCAGAAGTTTTATCTCTCCCAATAGTACCATTTTAACTAGCCGGAAGTTTACTCTCTCTCTATAGAACCATCTCAACTAGCCAGCAGTTTTCTCTCTCCCTATAGAACCATCTCAACTAGCCAGAAGCTTTCTATCTCCCTATAGAACTATTTTGACTAGCCGGAACTTTTCTCTCTCCGAATAGAACCATCTTCACGAGCCAGCAACTCGAGGAGTTGGAGCGAGCTTTTAACGAGGCCCACTACCCGGATGTTTACGCCAGAGAACTGTTGTCAGCAAAGACTGACCTACCTGAGGACAGAATACAGGTGAGTACCCAGTTAACCAATGCTAGCACCTCGAGATCTACTAATATCTAGTTCGAGTCACATGACGTGGTCACGTGATTTGTAACAATGTTGCAAGCGCTCTGCACTTTTGATTTAGTTGAAAATAATATTTAATACAATATAAATGAAATATGATTTGAAAAATCCTAGTTCTTTATCCCCCCCCCCGCCCCGGCCTATCTAAACCTGTTTTCTCTGTCTAGTTGTTGGTTCGTTGTTGACCTCTACGCCATAGTCTAGTTGTTAGTTGCTAACCTCGATATTATCGTCTAGTTGTTACCTGTTAAACAGAAAGCTCAAGGCAAACCTTATAAAAGAAGCCAATTCTTTTAATCTCTTATTTTAAAATTCGTCTTTTTATTTTCCCACGAAACCGGTTGGTTGGTCAAAAGTGAAGCATTTCTGTCAACGCCACCCAGGGGTATAAAGGTAGTGTCGTACTGCCCACCCCACTGACCATCGTGTCGTAACGTCACGTAGCCCCACCCACCCTCACGCCCTACCCTCACGCCCCACGGCAGCCACCCACCCACCACAATAGCGGTCAGCACGGGTCATTCAGCCGTCCCCTGGTCCCACGCGTGGCATCAAGTGACGGGCAGAGAATTGCACCTCCACTTAGCCGAGGCACGGCACCTCCACTTAGCCGAGGCACGGCACCTCCACTTAGCCGAGGCACGGCACCTTTCATCTGCCGTGTCCACTGTTGGCACATCTCGCCTCTCTATGCACGAGTCACAGGAGTCAGAAGAGTCACCGGAGTCACGAGCTTCCGCTGCAGTCAGTGACAAGTGTCAGCAGACGTATTCTACGCGTCAAACGTGGGGGTAGCGCCCCCCCCCCCCTGTAATTGCAACAAACGATTTTTTGTGTCGCCAGCTTTTACCAGAAAACGGAACACAAAAACCTCGTTTGTCAGTTGATAATAACGCCCTGGCTATTGAGAAATGTACAATCTGTCGCCCGGTACAATAGATAACTCCATTTGGAGGTTTATATAGAGGCCAATTCAAACCTTTAGAGAATGTTGCAGCCTGCTGTCTAAGGGTGTTGACGCATGATGTCTAATTAATTAACACTAATGATCTCGTGTCGCCGCTGATTTCAAGTGTCTTAAGACAGAGACTTAAATATATTCTAAAAACGATGTCTAATTACTAAAAAAAAAAACCCATTAAAAACGTTTTAATAATAAGCTTTTATGTAATAATGTACTAAAAAGTAGAAAATAAATGATTTTCTTTAAATATTTAATAATGCACTACTATTTAAATAAGTATAAAGAAAAGCATGGGTCACTTTATTATCTATTGGATACATTTACTAATATTTAGGAATCGTTTATTTTCTACTTTTTAGTGCATTATTACATACAAGCTTGTTATTAAAACGTTGTTATGAATTATTTATTTAGTACTTAAATGTTTAAAATTTACAATAGAGTTGCTTGACTAAAAATTATTGCGTAAAATAGTGCGGAATTGCTGGATCAGTCAACCTACTAATTTGGACACAATTTTAATTAATTCATAAAAAATTAATTAGGCATCCAATTAAGTCAAATTTAATGTCAGATAGCATTGTCTTCATGTCTTGACTCACGTGCCAACTTTGAACTGAATCTGTCACTTAGAAGTGCATACAATTTTGCTCAAGCATTTCGATTAACGACGACAGATAGATGGAAGACAGAGGAAGCAAGTAAAATAAAAGCTTGTAAAAAAACACAATAAAAATGTAGCTCTCTACATTGACATGCAGTATCACTAAATGCCAGACGACGTCCTGGAGTATCACAAAATGTCACATACTGTCATTCTATCTAACATATCATGACACCATGTGACTAATCCAGCTAATCATACGACACTAGATATCCTGAAGTCAAAAGGGATTCTCTTTTTATTCTTTGTACATCGAAAAACATATGTATGGTTTTTTTTTCAAGTATGTAAAGATTAAGTAAAATGCATTTTACTTAATCTTTTCAACGCATAAATACAGCTGCTATTGTGCAATTCTGCTGGTATAGCTGGCGATGAAACAACCATTCCAACGAAAGTTCGTTTTAACAGAGGCAACAGCAATACACCTTTATTAAATACCCATTTTAAAAAAAAAATCCACCTTTATTAAATACACCTTTTTTTAAACATCCACCTTTATTGAATACGCCTTTTTTTAGAATCCATCTTTATTAAATAGACATTTTTAAAAAAATACATTTAAAAAAATACAACCTTTTAAAAACAAATACCCTAAAGAGAAACGGCCAACACGATTTTTTCCCAGTCAAAAAATTAATTGTCTAACACTGGAAGAAAATCTGAAAGAGCCAACCCCTGTTGTACATCCCCAGCCGGTAACTAGAGCCTGCAGGGGTTTCTATTGCCAACAATTACGGCTTGATTGCCTCTCAGTTTCAAAAGTTGGATTACAGCGTTTTGTTGAGAAAACTAGACGGACACGAAAGAAAAAAAAAAGATGATCGCGTATTAAATAACAGAGTTAATCGTTTTTATATGTTTGATATTTTCATCGTGTAACTAGTTGCAAGTATTTTTATTTCATACTTTTTTAAATAGCGACTTGAGAATAATTGATGACGATGCAATAGATGCAGCTAATTAAGTATTGATTTGATACCAGTCTTGAATTAAATTTGATTTAATATCAGTCTTGAATTAAACGGAGTTTTTATTGGAGGGCGGTGGGTGTGGAGGTGGAGTGGGGGGGGGGGTGCAACCTGTTTCCGGTGGTTTAGCTCAAGTCAAGTACTTCAACAAAATGGTCCCAATTAAAAACATTCATTGAGCAGTAATTAAGGCGTCCACTTGCCGGCACTTGACCCCCTGCACGTCACACCCGGGGTCGAGTTGTCGGCGGACCATCTGCAGTGGACGCTGGTCGCCTCTCCCGGGGTGGTCGTGTCCGGTCCCACGTGGCCGATGTTGGGTGGTGTAGAGGTGGTGGGGTGGCGTAGAGGTGGTGGGGTGGGTTAGAGGTGGTGGGGTGGGTTAGAGGTGGTGGGGTGGGATAGAGGTGGTGGGGTGGCTTAGAGGTGGTGGGGTGGCGTAGAGGTGGTGGGGTGGGATAGAGGTGGTGGGGTGGCTTAGAGGTGGTGGGGTGGCGTAGAGGTGGTGGGGTGGGATAGAGGTGGTGGGGTGACGCAGTGGTGGTGGGGTGGGATAGAGGTGGTGGGGTGGGATAGATGTGGTGGGGTGGCGTAGAGGTGGTGGGGTGGCGTAGAGGTGGTGGGGTGGCGTAGAGGTGGTGGGGTGGGATAGAGGTGGTGGGGTGACGCAGTGGTGGTGGGGTGGGATAGAGGTGGTGGGGTGGCGTAGAGGTGGTGGCGTGGGATAGAGGTGGTGGGGTGGCGTAGAGGTGGTGGGGTTGGATAGAGGTGTTGGGGTGGGATAGAGGTGTTGGGGTGGGATAGAGGTGGTGGGGTGGGATAGGTGGTGGGGTGGCGTAGAGGTGGTGGGGTGGGATAGAGGTGGTGGGGTGGCGTAGAGGTGGTGGGGTGGGATAGAGGTGGTGGGGTGACGCAGTGGTGGTGGGGTGGGATAGAGGTGGTGGGGTGGCGTAGATGTGGTGGGGTAGCGTAGAGGTGGTGGGGTGGGATAGAGGTGGTGGGGTGGGATAGAGGTGGTGGGGTGGCGTAGATGTGGTGGGGTAGCGTAGAGGGGGTGGGGTGGGTTAGAGGTGGTGGGGTGGCTTAGAGGTGGTGGGGTGGCTTAGAGGTGGTGGGGTGGCTTAGAGGTGGTGGGGTGGCGTAGAGGTGGTGGGGTGGCGTAGAGGTGGTGGGGTGAGATTGAGGTTGTGGGGTGGCGTAGAGGTGGTGGGGTGGCGTTGATGGGGTGGGGTGGCGTAGAGGGGGTGGGGTGGCGTAGAGATGGTGGGGTGGCGTAGAGGCTATTCTAGCCGGACACAGCGGTGCTGGAGGGGAGATAACAAAACCACGGAAGTGCCTGCCAAAGTGGTCAAACTGACAAGTCTGTCAGGCTTGACTTGGCACGGTGAGGCGTGTGTTGTGTAAGACGGTGTGGCGAGTAACACGGTTAGAGTTATAGAAGATTATATGTTCAGAGAAATCCGAGATTAGGAAAGATAAACGAAATTCAATCGTTATTTATTTTTAAGAGTAAGCTCCCTTCAACTTTCTTCTATATTGTTATCTAACCTCCAATTCCAATGTAGTTATGGTAGGTGAGGTATTAACAAAACTGCTGGTTTTTCGAATGGTACTTGTGCTATTTCACTCCGTAATTTCACTCTCCATTCTTAACCACACACGTGCTGTCCTATACTCCGTGTTGTCCTATGCTCCATGCTGTCCTATACTCCGTGCTGTCCTATACTCCGTGGTGTCCTATACTCCGTGCTGTCCTATACTCCGTGGTGTCCTATACTCCGTGCTGTCCTATACTCCGTGCTGTCCTATACTCCGTACTGTCCTATACTCCGTGTTGTCCTATGCTCCATGCTGTCCTATACTCCGTGCTGTCCTATACTCCGTGCTGTCCTATACTCCGTACTGTCCTATACTCCGTGCTGTCCTATACTCCGTACTGTCCTATACTCCGTGTTGTCCTATGCTCCATGCTGTCCTATACTCCGTGCTGTCCTATGCTCCGTGCTGTCCTATACTCCGTGCTGTCCTATACTCCGTGGTGTCCTATACTCCGTGCTGTCCTATACTCCGTGCTGTCCTATACTCCGTACTGTCCTATACTCCGTGCTGTCCTATACTCCGTGCTGTCCTATACTCGGTGCTGTCCTATACTCCGTGCTGTCCTATACTCCGTGCTGTCCTATACTCCGTGCTGTCCTATACTCCGAGCTGTCTCTCCGTACTGACCCACTCTTCGTCCTGACCCACTCTCCGTGCTTTCTTTTTTTCCGTGCTGTTCTTTTCTCCGTGCTGTCTTACACTCCGTACAGTGCAATGCTTTGTTTCCATGTTGCCCCATATTCCCTGCTGCCTAACATTTCGAACTGTCCCATGTTCCATGTTCCATGTTCCATGTTCCATGTTCCATGTCCCATGTCCCATGTCCCATGTCCCATGTCCCATCTCTCATATGTTACATATCGTAATGGCTCCGTGGTCCCGATATATCCATCTGTCCGATAGTGACTATAGATCCTCTGCTCCCTACACGCCGTTCTGCCCAATAGTCACAACAGTCTCATCTGCCCCTACACCCCGTACTGCCCTATGCCTCACTGTCCCAATGCCCTCATCTGCCCCTACACCCCGTACTGCCCTATGCCCCACTGTCCCAATGCCCTCTTCTGCCCCTACACGCCGTACTGCCCTATGTTCCACCGTTCAAATGCCCTCATCTGCCCCTACACCCCGTACTGCCCTATGCCCCACTGTCCCAATGCCCTCATCTGCCCCCTACAGTCAAGTTCGCCAGTTCGTGCTGTCGCATGTAACAGCGCGTGTCGTCAAATATTCTGATTGGCCATTCTGAATGCAAATGAGGAACAAATTGGTACCGGAAGTGCCGAGATTAAGCGCTACTCTCCAACATCACGCGATCAGAAATCCTCGAACCGATTTGCGCCACGCAATTTTCCCACAACTAATTGTCATTTTTATAGCTGTTTCATGCGCAGTTTCTTTTTTTAAATTGAAAATGTTCAAAATCAATCAAATGCGTGACAATACTACGATAATTAATCTATTTATAAACTTACCTGGAAACTGCTTTAATCCTCATTAAAGAAACAAAGATTCACATACGGTATAACATTAGAGTCGTTACTAAATGACATTCTCCTGCTTAGGCAAAGAAAGGTAGTCTTGGAATTTTCTTAAGATATTGAATGTTTGTATAGTTCAGTTATGTGATATATGGGTGAATGTGGGATGATAAATGCTAAAGTGTAATACTATTGATAGAGCTGATGCTATTTAAAGAGATGTTCGTCAGTGGGACTGTGACGTCAGTTTTGTTTGTTTGCGGGGTCGAAAGGATGTCTTTTGTTATGATGCCTATGTGGATTGAGGGTTCCATCCGTTAAAAGGACGTGACGCCATTTACCACTCCCACCCTCAACCCTCCAAAAATACTACAACTGTGAACTTTCTTAATTGTTTAATTAAACTAGAAAGATCGATCAGCTGACCGATGGTTAAAAGGTCCTGAAGGTGTTGAGCTTGTTTGTCTACAGGTATGGTTCCAGAACCGCCGTGCCAAGTGGAGAAAGACAGAGAAGACCTGGGGCCGGAGTTCCATCATGGCGGAGTACGGCCTGTACGGTGCCATGGTCAGACACTCCCTGCCCCTGCAAGACAGGGGTGACGCCCAGGAGAAGTCGGCAGACACTACAGGTATCTGATGTTGGTACAGACGGCCGACAGTTGTTTAGTTTCTAAAGACCCGCTAGTAGTATGAGACTACCTAACTGGGCGTAGAACCCTGTACTTGATCTCCGCATGTTGTATGGAGCAAGATTGTTTGACTTCTGACTTCGTTTGACATCTGACATTGTTTGACGTCTGACATTGTTAGACCTTTGACTTTGTTTAACCTCTGACATTGTTAGACCACTAATATTGTTTGACCACTGACTGTTTGACCTCTTACTTTGACTACTAACATTGTTTGACCACTAATATTGTTTGACCACTGACATTGTTTGACCTTTGACTTTGTTTAACCTCTGACATTGTTAGACCACTAATATTGTTTGACCACTTTATTTGTTTGACCTTTGACATTGTTTGACCACTGACTGTTTGACCACTGACTGTTTGACCTCTGACATTGTTTGACCTCTGGCATTGTTTGACCTCTGACATTGTTTGACCACTGACTGTTTGACTTCTTACTTTGACTACTAACATTGTTTGACCACTGACATTGTTTGACCACTGACATTGTTTGACCTCTGACATTGTTTGACCTCTGGCATTGTTTGACCTCTGACATTGTTTGACCACTGACTGTTTGACTTCTTACTTTGACTACTAACATTGTTTGACCACTGACATTGTTTGACCTCTGACATTGTTTGACCTCTGACATTGTTTGACCTCTGGCATTGTTTGACCTCTGACATTGTTTGACCACTGACTGTTTGACTTCTTACTTTGACTACTAACATTGTTTGACCACTGACATTGTTTGACCACTAACATTGTTTGACCACTGACATTGTTTGACCACTGACATTGTTTGACCTCTGGCATTGTTTGACCTCTGGCATTGTTTGACTTCTGACATTGTTTGACCACTGACATTGTTTGACCACTGACATTGTTTGACCTCTGACATTGTTTGACCACTGACATTGTTTGACCACTGACATTGTTTGACCTCTGGCATTGTTTGACCACTGACATTGTTTGACCACTGACATTGTTTGACCACTGACATTGTTTGACCACTGACTTTGTTTGACCCCTGACTGTTTGACATCTAACTTTGACTACTGACATTGTTTGACCACTGACATTGTTTGACCACTGACATAATTTGACCTCTGACCTTGGTTGACCTCTGACATTGACCACTGACATTCTTTGACCACTGACATTCTTTGACCGCTGACATTGTTTGACCTCTGACATTGTTTGACCTCTTACTGTTTGACATCTGACTAGACCACTGACATTCTTTGACCGCTGACATTATTTGACCGCTGTCATTGTTTGACCGCTGACTTTGTTTGACCTCTGACCTTGGTTGACATCTGACATTGACCACTGACATTCTTTGACCACTGACATTCTTTGACCCCTGACATTGTTTGACCTCTGACATTGTTTGACCTCTGGCATTGTTTGACCTCTGACATTGTTTGACCTCTGGCATTGTTTGACCTCTGGCATTGTTTGACCTCTGGCATTGTTTGACCTCTGGCATTGTTTGACCTCTGGCATTGTTTGACCTCTGACATTGTTTGACCTCTGGCATTGTTTGACCTCTGGCATTGTTTGACCTCTGGCATTGTTTGACCACTGACATTGTTTGACCACTGACATTGTTTGACCACTGACATTGTTTGACCACTGACATTGTTTGACCACTGACATTGTTTGACCTCTGACTTTTTGACATCTAACTTTGACTACTGACATTGTTTGACTACTGACATTGTTTGACCACTGACATTGTTTGACCACTGACATTGTTTGACCACTTACATTGTTTGACCACTGACTTTGTTTGACCTCTGACTGTTTGACATCTAACTTTGACTACTGACATTGTTTGACCACTGACATTGTTTGACCACTGACTGTTTGACATCTGATTTTGACCACTGACATTGTTTGACCACCGAAATTGTTTAACCACTGACCTTGGTTGACATCTGACATTGACCACTGACATTCTTTGACCGCTGACATTGTTTGACCCCTGACATTGTTTGACCTCTGACATTTTGACCTCTACAGTAACTCCGGCTACAGCTGCATCAGTCTCGTCACCTGACCCACCCAAGTCTCCAACCAATGGCTCCACACGTCCGGTCATGTGACAAGACCACGTGATGGGGGTGATGCACTGTCCAGCGGACTAAAATCTGCACCCTGAGGATGCTGTTCTACAGGAAGCTGTACAACAGGAAGCTGTTCACCGAGCGACAAGAACAGCCATTTTAAGTCTCCAGCGATGGTCAAATATGTTTTTGTTTCTTGTTGTTGTCCAACCTACCTGCCGTCATAACATCTGCACATTTTGTCAATAAATATTTTATTAACATGTCTTCGCTCTCTGTACTATTACCATGCTATCTGTGACGCAGTATCTAAAGTACAAAGATAAACAAGGTAATTAAAAAGTCTAGTGACAATTTTAGCGCAATTTCCTTATGTTATCTAAAAATAGCTCTGTCGTAGCGTAAATCAAGAGCAGGGTTAGTAAAACCATTGGTTAGTTATTAAAACGTTTTTTATTTAAAAAAATTTCAGTATTTTACATGTTTTATTTACAATAGAGTTACATGACTAAAAACCATTGCGCGCCTACTGAACGTGATGGCGCAGCCATGGAACGCGATGGCGCAGCTATTGAACGTGATGACGCGTGTGGTGTAGTTGGAAAAAATGCCTACTAATTCGGTCCAAATTTTAATTAATTCAAAATTTTTTTTGTGACCGAACGAAAGGATATTTTTGAAAACTTTCTTCGGCAATATTGTTCTAAATTATGGCAGGAATCGATTGGTACATGTTTCAAGTCGCTAAGTGGTCTGGTTGCCGATATATGGGCCAAAAACTGCATTTTTTCTCGGTTTTTTGGCTTTTCCGGGAAATACATGAAAGAAACCCGTAATTTTTATGGCCTATGTTCATCCTCGTAACTTGCTTAACATAATTGCTTTTGGAACTAGTCATCGATATTGCTTCGTTGAGGAGGAGATACGACTTAAAGCTGCGGACACACATCCATCCATTCATTCATACATTCATACATCCAGAAATGACGGGTTAATAAACGCAATTCTCCAGAATGGAAATTGCGCTAAAAACTATATTTCATAGAAAATAATTTGAAGGAAAACCTCTGTGAAAAACAAACAAGAAAAAACCAACAAAAAAAAAACAACAAAAAAACAGATCTAATTTCTTGTTGCAGTTGCGGAATTTCTTTTAATCTATCCAACAGTAAACTGTAGTAATTCGATGCAGCTGGCGAATAAAGTGAATCGCAAGAACAGACAACTCCGCCACAGCAAGTAGAGTTACCTCTTACATTCTAGTATTTCAATTTATAGACAATCAAAGTTACGGTAAACAAACACAAAACCTTTTTTAAAAACGATTTTTAAAAGTTGTAAATAATTATTTTTTTTTACATTCCGGAAGCCTCGCCCATATACCAACTCAGCAGGTAGACGCCCGAACTGGTGGTGATATTATTGTGTGAAATATAAACGCCCGAACTGGTGGTAATATTTATTGTGTGAAATATAAACGGCGGTAGTCTCGGCGTTCAAACACATCAAATGGGTTGTTTGGCCGCTGCTTCCATTAAATAGTTCTATTATTAATTAGATTTGCGATTACTCCATAATGTTTTGATCTGTTAATTAGACACGCTAATTAGATTTACCTTCTCAGAAGCTTGGCGTAGCTTTAATGTGAGTAACAAAGTTTTGAAACGATGATATGCTTGATTATCATTTTTAACGCAGACAAATCTACACTTTCTTTTTATAATAGCCAGTAGCTTTTTGATTAGCAGAACTTGATGAAACGTCACGGGAAAAATAGACGCAGGTTTTTTAATTCTTGGAGCACCTGCACTGCACAGGTGAGATCACAATCGGCTGCCGTCGTGCCGAGATTAGCCGCCTCGGTTCCTGGAAGTCTTTTAGCCTGAGCGGCGGAGTGAGCCGTCTCAAAGACAGGAGAGCGGCTCAATGTTTGTAGACTGCTGTATGTTGGCCCATGTAATCTGCTGTTAGCTTGCCCATGTAATCTGCTGTTAGTTGGCCCATGTAATCTGCTGTTAGCTGGCCCATGTTTTGTAATCTGCTGTTAGCTGACCCATGTAATCTGCTGTTAGCTTGCCCATGTAATCTCCTGTTAGTTGGCCCATGTAATCTGCTGTTAGCTGGCCCATGTAATCTGCTGTTAGCTGGCCCATGTAATCTGCTGTTAGCTGGCCCATGTAATCTGCTGTTAGTTGGCCCATGTAATCTACTGTTAGTTGGCCCATGTTTTGTAATCTGCTGTTAGCTGACCCATGTAATCTCCTGTTAGTTGGCCCATGTAATCTCCTGTTAGTTGGCCCATGTAATCGGCTGTTAGTTGGCCCATGTTTTGTAATCTGCTGTTAGCTGACCCATGTAATCTCCTGTTAGTTGGCCCATGTAATCTCCTGTTAGTTGGCCCATGTAATCTGCTGTTAGTCGGCCCATGAAATCTCCTGTTAGTTGGCCCATGTTTTGTAATCTGCTGTTAGCTGACCCATGTAATCTGCTGTTAGTTGGCCCATGTAATCTTCTGTTAGTTGGCCAATGTAATCTGCAATTAGTTGGCCAATGTAATCTGCTGTTAGCTGGCCCATGTAATCTACTGTTAGCTGGCCCATGTAATCTCCTGTTAGTTGGCCCATGTTTTTTAGTCTCCTGTTAGTTGGCCCATGTAATCTCCTGTTAGTTGGCCCATGTAATCTCCTGTTAGTTGGCCCATGTAATCTCCTGTTAGTTGGCCCATGTAATCTCCTGTTAGCTGGCCCATGTAATCTGCTGATAGTTGGCCCGTGTAATCTGCTGTTAGTTGGCCAATGTAATCTGCTGTTAGTTGGCCCATGTAATCTGCTGTTAGTTGGCCCATGTAATCTGCTGTTAGTTGGCCCATTTTTTTTAGTTTCCTGTTAGTT